TATATATATATAGTAAGGCTCCTATCAACTTAAGTTGATGTCCACCAAACTTCCTAGCCACTCATTTATTAATATGAAAAACCTTTTCATATCATGCAAGGATCCTTAGACGATATGAGTGGCTAAAAAGTTTGGTGGACAACTTTTTGTTATCCACTTAAATTGACACAAGTTTTGCTATATATATATATATACACTTTTTGGTTGGGCGAAAAGCCTATTGGTTAGCAACTTTAACAAGAAAAAGTGCACAGTTGTACTTACTATGCGTCGTTAACTTGTACATCAAGGGTTGTTTTAAAACGATTTGCTATGAATAGGGCAAGTCAATAAAATTTTCTATGCATCAGTACTCGTGTACGATTTATTTATCACATTAGCTTAACATTTGTATATTTATAACCATGCATACTATATTTATCAATGTATACTGGTTTTCTCTCTATGTTTACTTTTCTAAATAGCCTTACGCTGTTCTGCGAATGCCTGTAATAAGAAAGAGCTTTGAACATCTTTCTGAATTAATCCTTCAATTAATCTATACTTAACTACAGTGAAAGGGGTAAATTAGGTAATTAACATATGTAAAGTCCCTTGATTTAGCTAGTGATCATTTTTCCTGATAAATAGTAAGAAACTTGACAGATTTTTTTGATATCCTTATGCGCATCACTGCATGTTCTGAGTGAGTATATTGGACATGTTTTCGAAAATTTTACAAAAGTTAGAAATATTTTGAAAAGGGATTTAACATATGTTAATTAAATCTGTTCTTTGATTAGATCAATGTGACTTGACGAAGTTGTCCTTATATCTAAAATTTGCTTGATTAATTAGATATTGTGAGAGATATATAATGTTTACTGAGGGCATTTCGTTTGTTTTCTGAGGGCATTTACTAACTGGGAAGTTAAGTACATAAATACCGATGAAACCCGGCTAACGAAACAAAATACCCTCGGTAAACAAACCTATACATCCAACCCTCAGAGACTCTCCAAATACTCTAAGGGCTTGTTTGGATTGAGGGGAATAAGGATGAAGGGATGTTAGGGGAACCATTCACCTTGTTTAGGAACATTTAGGAGGTGAAGTTATTCACCCTAGTTCCCCTTGGTTCACCCCCTAATAGTATAAAATTTGTATTCACCCTAGTTCCCCTTGGTTCACCCCCTAATAGTATAAAATTTGTTACCCCCCAAATTGGGGTGTAACCAAGGGGAAGGGAACTCCCTTCCCTTCCCTTCCATTCTCTCACCTGTTTTCCCTTAACTTCCCTTCACCCCCTACAAATCCAAACTGGCTCTAAATTGAGGAGAGACGACAGCATGAAGACCAAGAGAGATAACACCCCTCTTCTTACCTTAAAATCTCCTGCAACTCCTCTAATTCCAGATTTGATAAACAGCAGCCGCTCGCGTAGCACGCAAAATAAATAAATAAATAAATAAATAAAACTCTTCCAGATCAAAGCAGCAACTAGACAATGAAGGAACATGCGATCGATATTCTCCTCAGCCTGGTTACCCACTGAATATGAGGAGTATAGGATACAAAGAGAGTTTGATATGCTTTAGACATAGGGGCTGTTTGGTTCCGGTTTTTGGAAGGGGAAAGGAGGGGGAAAGCTGCCAAAATGTCAGGCTTTTCTCCCTTTTATTGATCCAAAAAACCGATCCAAAAAACCGATCCAATCAGCCCCATACCAATCACCCAATCAGAGTTGCTCTGGATTTGAGCATTAATAGAGCTCTCCATCTATGCAGCAACCAATCTCTAATTTGAAGAAGTTTATGCCATAACCAATTAATCTTGCTTTCCAATAGAATCCTGACGATCAATAGTCAATCAGGACCAGGAGCTAGCTTTACCAGTTGGAATAGATTGAAAAGCATGAACAATCTCAGCATCAGTAGCCGGAGGGCATAGCAAATTCTTCTGGGTATCATGCAACGCTTCTCCCCTAAAGGCCACCTCAGCAACTCAAGACAGCTGGGACCCCAGAAGACCTTGATGGAAGTGAAGGAATTTCCTCCACAATTTGTTTACCATCATTAATTTCCCTCGACCCAAGGCAGTTGAGACCCCGGAAGGCATTGATAGCTGTGAAGAGTTTGCTCCGCAATTTATTTACCACCAGTAATTTTCCTACCACTTCCAATATATAAATATTTATAGAGAAGCACATCACACAAGTGAAGATAAAAGAATGTTTCACAGGGGAAGAGACAAGTGAAGTACATGATTGGGGTAGTGAAAGAAACCAAGGTTGTTCTTCTTACTGCTCTCTTCCGTACTAACGCTCCTGACAGAAATGAGCTTGGTTTGAGTCATTATGTATAAAACTGATGATTGTAGGGCCTTTTTTTTCTTGCGACTTTGGTGGCTTTTTTGTTGCGATGATTGGTTATGCATGATCTTATCAATGGATTTACTGTTACATGGTAATGAATAAAAGTTTTTTCATTAACAAAAAAAGAAAATCCTAAAACGTGTCCAAGAGGAGATCAAATAGTACCGAAGGGGGAAATCGATCGTGGAAGCGCAGCGATGCATGCAGACGAGGCATCCTAACAGACCGAGAGATTCGAACATATTTTAAAGCGGATATTTTGCAAAATCGACTTTTTTTGGTCAAAAGAAGTCAATTTTGCTAAGTATTTTCCCAAAAATGGTCTTTTTTAAAAATTCTCCTTTTAGACATGTTTCAAAAAACCTGTAATACCCCTCAAAAGAAACTTATAATACTCCACCGACAAGGAACAACAATGAAGAACTCTGTTACTCTTATTCAAATCTAAAGGTCTTTAGTATGAACAATTTGCTTACTGTCTTCTCCCATATAATTAAAAACAAGAATACATGTGATGATGCTCTGCTCAAGATAAAACTGGATATATCACTCTGTAAATGCCAATACCTAATGATCTCATCGTTCCTCATTTGCTACACTTTCTGTATTACGGCATGGAATATGTTGAATAACTATTTGCTACTTGTTTATCAGCCATTCTGACCTGCAACGCATCAAATTTCACATTAAGAACGCAAATATGTCTGATGACTTGCAAAAATTAGTAACGTAGTACAAATTAGATATCACAATTCAGGGTACTTGAACACAATTGTTTCTGTAAGTTTCCAGCATAAAGTATTTTCAAAGAATCTCCTTATGCGTTTCCATGATGTTTCTATCTCCAAGAGAGCAAATATACAAGTGGTCATTTCCACATCTACATTGCGGCAGTTCATAGATCTCATGGGAGCCAACAAGCACTGAGGATTAAATATGGACCTTAAGGACCATCTTGGCTCGGTTTACTACATAAAAAAAAGCATTACAATTTTGGATAATAATGGCAGCAGCTGATGGTACCTTTACTCAGGTTGGAGAAGTGAGATTTCAATTTCCTGTAGAGTCTTGCCTTTTGTTTCCACAACATTTCTCCTCACAAATATTGCTGCAATCAAACAGAAGAACGCAAACATAGAGTATAGCATCTGTGACCCTAGTCGTTCCAGCAATGGCAAAAACAGCAAACCAACGAAGAAATTCACCACCTGAAATTTTAAAATAGACTTAATAAGATTAACATGATGGATATTAAATTTCTCATATATATGCTATAAAACTTTCCATCCCGAGTAAAAGTTGTCCAATTCAACATAATTTGTTTGGTAACTGGCTTCAAGTTGGTGATGTACCAAGATATGCAATCCACGGTCATCCAAAAAAATTTCCTTTATTTGGATTCCGCTCTAAAGCTTTTAATCCAATATTTTTCTGGCTAATAATCCTTTCTAAATCCAAGGGAAATAGGCAGAATGGTTAAATAAATAAGCGTAAGTAGATGACTAAATTGCAGAGTACATACCCAATGCACGCACATGCATGTGGCCATAGCTTTTGCACGAATTTTGTTGGGAAATATCTCCGATAGAAGAAGGCTAGGGACTGGACCGGCCCCTAGTGAAAATGCCAAGACCGATCTGCAAAAATGGAAGGATTATGACTGAGATTATGTAATCGTTGAATTAGTTTTCTGGTGCCTGCCTTCAAGAGTATGATGAAGAAACACAAACTACGATACATATGGTAAATAAAAGTAAATTCAGGGTCATGAAAATTTCGGAACGCCACACTAAAAAAATCATGAGATTGTTCCTAGTACAAAAAAAAATTATGTAACAGTTATATATTAAGATTTAAGCTTGTTTAGTTCTTGTACTGGATTTTGATAGTCTAATGAAAGGTGTCTTACTTATTAGGAAAAAAAGGAAATATAAAGGCGTCTTACTTATAAACAAACATTTTTTTTCATTTGCTTTAGTATGGAAAATCCCTGGTAAGATAGGTGCTAGGTACTTACAACAGCATTCCACCAACAGAGAAGTACAGAGCCCATGAGGCAGGAAGTCTTGCTGCCATGGCCTGAAGGCCCATTGACACTGCCTGATTTGATAAAAATACGTTATTATTCAATCTAAATAATATAAATTGAAAACAATAATAACTTATAGTGTGTTGAACTTTAAAGCAAAAGACATACCATGCCAATAAAACTACCTATAAGTAGTACTTTCCTGCCCAACTTATCCATTAAACTCATGGCGACAACTGACCCTGTATTGACACAAGAACAGCAAACCCTTATTTCTCAATTTCGAATACTAGATATAATGCAAAACAATATCAATTTACTACCTGAAAGATTTGCAAATCCTAGACATAAGTTGGCAAGGTTTGAGGGCACCCCCGCACTCTTAAAAACAGTTGAAGAGAAATAGAAGACAGCATTTATCCCCGATAACTGTTGTAAAGCAAATAGTGTTGATCCAATAAAAACAACTGTATCAAAAAAAAGAAGAAAGAAGGTGTTTGCAATGAAAAGAACTTCTAAGGTAGGTAAGATTATAATACAGTTATTATAATAATAACAGCATAAATAAATAGAAGAAAATTTAATAATATATACATTTCCAGTTATATGCACCTCTAAAATTGTGACCACGTAGTAAATCTGAAAATTTTATGGTCTCCACATCATCTCCTTTATCTGAACGAGATAATTCTGCAATTGCTGACTTGACATGGAAAGCTCCCAAAAGTCTTTCATATTGAATTTCTGCTTCAACTAGCCTTCCACGCTGTAAATAATAACCAGAAGACACTTAGCTGATAAATAAATTGAAGAACCCTGGATAAAGAAGAAATTAAGATAAAAGCTTTATAGTTCTGAATGTCTTAGACTCTTAGCCAAGGAAAAAAGAAAAATTGATCTATGGTCTTCTTATGGCAAGCTATGCTATCCTAAAATGTGTGCTCAGCTACTTGATTTTTTTCTTAAAGTAACGTGGGTAATCGAGCCTTTTAAAATAGGTTTTACTTGAGTTGTATGTTGGCCCTTTACTGACCATTATTGGTAAATTAGAGGGAAAATTAAGGGATGCGCTCTGTACGAATGATGGGACTTGAAGGCATTTAGCAGAAGGAAACACCAAGAAGTAAATGTTCATAGTATTAGGCAAAAGTTCAAAAACCACCAGCTTTTGCAGTCATATTGGTATGATAAATCATTATGAAGAAAGTGTATGCATTTAGAAAATGTGTAAGCATTCCTGACACACATATGAGAAGCATTTTATGAGTGGAAGTAGAATCATCTATCTTTTTCCCTCGTTTCCGAAAACTCCAAGTAGAAGTTTGGGGTTGATATAATAATAGCCATCTCAAAAGACAATTATACTTCACAGAGAGCAAATTAAGATAGGTTTTAGAGTTTTCTTTCATCTCCTTTCCAGATAAGGGATTCAAGCCCTAATCAGCAATCTTCCTAACCAATTAGGAGGTTGCTTCTACACTATAAGATGGTATCTTGACTAACTTTCTATATGACTTCTATTATAATAATATTGAAACGAAAGTAGAGAAGGTCATAGTCAAATATGATTACTTTACATGAAGAGAAAGCTCAAGGAAATATTTGCAGCAACTACAGACCTTATAGAGCCATGAAGGACTTTCAGCACAAAATTCTATGAGAATCGCAAGAAAAGCACCAGGAATGGTAGAACCCCAAAAGCAGACCCGCCACCTGTTAAGATGTAGACTGATGTGATCAGGAACTTCACAATCGAAGAACAAAAAATAAATACTGCAGAAGTATATAGATTTCAACCAAGTTCCCTTACCATCCAGGGGTTGTCTTTACTGGAAAACCCATAAACATAGCGGCGATTAGACCAAGACATGTGGCAATCTGAATTAAACTTCCATAAGTACCTCTAACAAACGAAGGAGAGACCTGGTCATTTTAATACACAAAAGCAAAATAGAAGATCATTTACTGTTACCAACCATGTAATATTACCAATACTGCAAATTAGATAACACAAACAATCCTAAATCATAGTACAATCATCATTCATACCTCTGTCACATACAGAGAGGCAACAGGTGGACCTAGTCCCATTCCTATTCCAACTAAGAATCTGCCGAGCAGCATACCCTCCAAACTGTTTGCTATTGCACTGTAAATGGATGCACAAAGTTAACTTAGCAAGCTTGTCAAGGACTCTATCAACAATAACAAAATTAACAGTTCTAAGGATCAATAGACTGGTGTGTGAGTTACGTGAAAGAATTTTGCACATTATCTCAGTGCAATTTTTGCAGATTATCTGTAACGCGGAATCTGTAGGAGAAGAAGCAGAAATTGAGGAACAATTCAAGTGGATGTTGCTTCCAGCTACCACAAGGAAAAGGTTCCTCTACGTAACACCAAATATAAGCACGATTGTTATGGGTACAAAACGGGTATGTATATTTGCAAATACAACCACATCAAAGGATGCAATCATACATGAGTATCATGCCACTAGAATATAAAACTAAAACCCTCAACCCTCACCATAGCTTTGGAGTTTTGGTCCATTGGTAGGGACTTTAAGATGGTCTAAAAGCAACCCAGGTTCGAATCCTACCGGCCACGAGTTTCTAAAGTTGAGTAAGAAAAAGATATTGCTCAGTGAGTCCAGTTTCAGCCCATAAAAGAGCCTTCAACTTGCAAGGGCATCTTAGAATATAAAACTATAACCCTCAAACCTCACTACTCAAACCTCACGACGACTTCAAGAGTTTTGGTGTAGTGGCAGGAACTTAAAGACATGTGGTGTAGTGGTAGGAACTTAAAGACATGTGGTGTAGTGGCAGGAACTTAAAGACATGTAATATCCACATCCGTGTCTGATTGGATAAAGATAAGGATATTAAATATGCAATATTTGGCCAAATTCCAATGTCAATATTATTTTCTTTTGATCAGGTACATATATTAACATAAATAAAAAGAAGTCAAATATGAATATAGAAAATTGTTTTGATCGAAGAGATGAAATAATTTTGACACTAGATTAGTTAACGAAAAAGGGATTTCAGTTAAAGAAAGATCTGAACTTGGACTTTTGGACCTGTGGGACATGTGTGGAATGAATAGCTGATAGTATCCTGACATAGATTGGTGTATCTAAAACCAAGTTTGGCGATTGATTTTCTATTGTGCTGGACAATGTTAGAATGCAAAATTATAACCCTCAACCAGTTTTTCAGAAAGCGGTCTGGGCGTCCGTCTAGGCACCCACATAGATCTTATTTTGGCTGCCCACCTAAGTCTGGGAGCATGAGGAGAGCACGGGCCGTTTATGTGGACAACACTGCATAGGTCATGGTTGTGATTTTCCCTGCTGTTGCTTCCATTGCTTCCATGTCCTTCAAGCTCCTCCGGCCTCCACTAACTCGGAATACTTCCACCTCCTCCAACCTTCAGCAAAACACCCTCCACCTCCTATTCAACAGGAAAGAAATCCTCCTGTAGGCGCCAAACATTTTCAGCAACATTGACCATCACTAGAACTGCGGAGTTTTGGTGTGGTGGAGGGTGTGGTGTAAGGGCATTTAACAGACACATTGGTCAGACTCAGATTTGAAAGACTACACCAGATTTAGATAGCTCTTGTATTACATGGCCTATATGCTTTTGATAATTACTCATTTCCCTCAATTTCCAACACATATTTGTTTCTGTGACATCTAATCATAACCATATCAAAATTTGATGGCTGTGTATATCAATTTTCCTAATTAAATTATGTTCATATGTTCATATCCATATTCATCTCTGAGATAATATATGGATGGGTACGAAGTGACAACTTATTTAGCAAAATGAGTGTCTCACCTTGCTAGTAACATCAGACAGTATGAACCTCGCCGATTCTCTCTTGGTTGCTCATTTTTTAAATGAGGTGACAGTTCATATCATGTGTGCGTGCATGTGCGCAAATGCGTGTCATGTGATGCAAAAAAAAATGGGTGTATACAGAGGTAAAGCAAATGTCGTATCTGATTCATTTCCAATCCATTTGCATCCATAATGATTATAAGAGTGACGGATTCAAATTTTTGCTAACTACATTCAAGAACTAGGAACTCCTTCACATTGGTTTAGGACGTCGAAAGCATCATCAACCCATCAAACAGGCTAATACAAATCCAAAAGAAACAGAGAAAATATATGAATGAGGTTAGACTACCTTACAGAAGCTCCAATAATCATAGGCAATGCACACATCTGGAATGCCCTACGGCGCCCAACTGCATCAGCAATCCAACCACTACACGAAGAGCCAAGAAAGGCCGCACCCAAGCAAATGCTTACAACGAGTCCTGTTTTAGAACCAAAGCTCCCAGGAGTTACACACAAGTGAACACCATACGCAAAAGGCAAGGCTCAATTCAAATTAGCGTAGCTAATTACCTTCATCCAGCGTGTTGCCCGAAAACCCAAGATCTTTAGCAATGCTATCCAATGGTTCATTCACCACTCTGTTTCATAACTCAATGCAAATTTTCAAAGCTTTTACTACTTCACACAACCATTTTGGGGGGAAAACAATGGATAAGCGAAAACCATGAGAAAAGAACGAACCCAAGATGGTATCCGAATAGGAATGATGAGATTGTTGCCACACATACATGAGGAAAAGAGAGTTTCCAAGAAGGATTGCTGCCTTCTTGACTCAAGAAACGACCTAATAATTAATTGCAATCATAAACATCTCAAGATTAGATTTTGATCATAACCATAGAAAATTCCAAGCACCCAGTTACCCAGCAAATGCAGGATGACCAGATATAGTTACAGAATTCAATAAACCGTCCAATAACGTGCTGAAATATTTCTAAATCGATATAGTCATAAAATGTGACCCAAAGGAAACAGTTCAACATTTCAGATCTAAGATGAAATTTTGATGACAGCCCATGTTGTAAAACATCCAGAAACACAAGAACAAGGGCATCACCTGAGCTGGGCTCGCCTCGATCGAAGTCCGCCATCAGCTCTTTGGCGGCCATTCGCTTATGAACAGAGGAACTACCCCACATCTTGAATTATTATTATTATTTTTCTTTTTTTTTCCCCACGTCCTTCACGTCCAAATCATCAATCACAGCTCTCGCTTCTCCAACGAAAATCGAAGAAGGAAAAACAATCAGAACTCGAGCTGGCGAGAGCTGATTTAAAAATGATTAGAACGAGGAGAGATCTTTGAAGAACCTGAAGAAGGCAAATGCAGAGCATGGGGAGATCCAGTGACGTGTCGCTGGCGCTCTCTCACTCTCTCTTTTTCTGCTTCACGTGGGCCCAGATCCCAGCGGATCGCCGCAAATGGAGGGCTGTGAGCGTAAGGATCCAGCCGCAGGGGCTAACGTGCGCTTCCTTGCGTCCTCCTACGATGAAGTTTTTGGTTTGTTCGTTGGGATGAGATGAGCGCGGATCTTCGAGAGGGAAGAGAAGACAACTGCAGAGGTCGGTGCTATCTTGCGCCGAGAGACGCGTGGATTATTGGAAAATATTAATTAATAGGATAATAAGTCGCGCATGTGGTCGGTCTTATTTTCTGAAGTACAAAAGGTTGGTTCAAGCAAAATTTTGGTATTTGGTATGGGATTATATGTTTTTGGAGTAAAAGGTGATTTTTTTTTTAGATTTTATATTTGGTGTTTGTTTTAAAAAATTTTTTAGAATATTAAATCTCAAAAATACAAAAAATACCTAATTTTTAGAATTTGTCAAATCCTCTCACTTTGAGAGGATTTGACAAATCCCATATGTGTGGTTAACTCTCTTTTTATACATTTATATTTTTTTTTTGAGGTAACCTCACCAAGATAAACATATTCATCTTATTTTCTTTTTAAAAATTTGTTATCATATAATTTGGGTTTGAACCAAATAACGTATTACAAATTTTAGGATTTGCTTTTCTATAATATTGAACCAAACAAAATATTAGAAATCCTAACGCACGTATAAAACCATATGGATTTGAAATTCCCCATGATATTATTACAAATTCTAAAATTTTGGCTTTTGAACCAAACACCCCCTAAATGTGGACACCCTCATTCGCACTTAATGATCACTTAAAGAGTCAGCTGAGGTTGTTCTTCAACTTTTAGGCAACATTTTCCGTATTCTATTCAGAAAAGGAAATGTTACGTAACTACTGATCGTTTGGAGTGATTCTTACTAAATATATTTAGTTGTAGTTGTTATTATTAAAGAAATAAGGGTTTTTTTTATAACCTAACTCGAAATTGAACGCAGAATTATATGAATCATATTAGAACCTCGCGAATAAAATAGGTCGTTTTACACATCAATCTTTGACCCTCGTAAATTCTAATTCATCGTTGGCAAACAATGTGACAAAAGGACACCTTTTATCAGTAGTTGCAAGCGGACGCGTAATAAGACACTATCCACTTTGGAAAATCCTAAAAGATCATGAGATTCTTTTATTCTTTTTCTTTTATGTATGTGTAATTTCATTATGATGATCAAGATAAATAATGTTGATCATCTCTTTTAACAGATAAACACTGCATCTAATCAGAGTAAAATTTTATATAAAAAAAATGAAACGACTTCCCTTGTAGCAGGAGATGGCAGGCTACCCTGCAGCCCAGAATGAAGACGTCCAAAGGAATAGAGTGGCACTACAGGCACACCTTATTTTATAAATCTCATGTGGGCCCGGTTACTGTAGCAGAGAGAGGGGAGTGTGGCTGAGGGTGTGACACAAGGTGTGCCTGTATCATTTTTGAAAGGAATATGCTTTTCTTTAAAAGTGAGTAAAACGTTGTAAAGACAAAAGTTTATAGGCTAAGTGTCTTTAGGCCTACGTTTCATGTGCCCAACTACCATCAAGGCTTTTTTTTCAAGCAACATAAACACCATCAAAATTCACCAAATATTAAAGAAATCAAGCATGTCGGAGGGGCAGTAGAGGCCTGTTCGTTATAAGAAGATTTTTATGTGGAGCAGGTTTGGTACACTAATAAAATGTTTATTCACCACGAAAAATACACAATTCAAAATTTACACAGTAAGTTTGTAGAAAGATTTCCAAAAAATGAAATTAATACCATGTATAATCAAGTACTACATGAAATATAAGACAATGTTGATCCTTATAAAGAACTATTTGATGTCACTCTCACACATACAATATACAACATTGGATCTTGCTCTTTTGAGTGAAGCCTGACATATTTACCGCAGTATTGAGGAACTTCAGCTTGGGTAGCAAGAGCTACCAAATCTTAAATTCCAACTGTGCTACTTACAAGAGTTTTGCCTCGTTCAGCATTGGTTTCAATCAATAAAATGGATTGACGAGCGAATCAAGCAATTAATGCTGCTGAGGAGAAAACTTCCAGGTGATTAAGCTGCACCAGCCGAAGAGCTCAACACCTGAATCTGTTGGAAATTAAGAAAAGAAACAGAAAATAAGACCATTATGATATAAAAACAACACAGACAACATCCAGCAAAAAGTAAATAAATAAATAAATAAAAATAGTGCAGTAAGAGAAGCTGACCTTGTTGACAAGCAAATCTACTTGCTCCCGGTACATCTCCTTTAGGTCCGCAATATCATTTCTAAGCTCTTCCAGCTGCAAAAAGGCACCCAAGGCGTAAGGCCCTTATGTTGGAAACAGACTGCAAAAGAGAATAGAAAAGGTGCAATCCAAGCACAAAGCAAAAAAATCCTGGAGAAGGCATTTGAATTTCAAAAGAGGTGCACAATCTAAAAGGAAACAAACTACAGACGCGTTTTCCCACGTGTTGAAGAGTAACCATTGGAAACGTAATTCCAAGAAATGCATGTATAGTGACAACATAAGCTCACGTCACCATATTGCATGCTTCAGAATGTACAGAATGAAATCATGATACTAGCCTGCTATTAGACAGACAGGCCTCTTGACCATGTTTTTCATCCTAGCATCATTTCCAACATTGGATGTGCACACTTTCTCGCATGAGCAGACGAGTACCAAATTGTATCGGCAGCCATCTTAGTAAAACTAAGAAGCAAATCTGCGCACATATACATCCATACATACATGTGTGAGTGTGTGTGCAGGTGTGATGGTGGGTCGGTGTGTCACTAATGCACCAGTTCGAAAAAGTAATAAGATTATAGTTAATGGAACAAGTTGGATTAGAGGTAGACCAAAGCAAACTTGGTTGGAAGCAATTACAAGATAATAATTTGTTGTTGTAATATTAGAAGCAATTAAGATAAGCTAATAGTTCAGTAATGGAGGAGATAGCTTTACGTTGAATGGAAGAATATGATTCATGTAGCTGATAACAAGATTTTGAGATAATCTCTTAATGTGCTGCTGTGCGTGGTGAATGGTTTCCGCAACAATCCGACCAAAGAAAACGGATGTGCTCCATCACAGTGGTTTCAATGTAATCAAAGCTTCAAAAACATTCACCAAACAAATGCATATATAACTACCGGACCCGTGAAAATATCTTGTGCATGGTGTTGTTCCCACTTACCCACAAAACGATCATTAATGGGCTAATATGCAAGTAGTTTAACCCCTTGCAAAGGTCTCAATTATGAACAAAACAAGTTTAATTTTGCTCTTGACAGTGCATGCATCTTGAACAACTTAAAGCACAGAAGACGTTTACATTCTACAGCTTAGCAACAGTATTGCATATGAATATTGCCTTCTACATATAGATACTGGACAGATTTCATATTTGACATTACTGTAACACCAAATAACAAAGTTTTTTACCCAAAAAATTCTTCCAAATTGGTCCTGATGAACTTGGTTAAAAATAACTGAACAGTTAGCACCATTTCAGGCTTTTTCCTAAATTTGGGTGAGCGTAGGACCAACAACTCAAAGGTGAGATGGTTCTACGGGAGATGGACAGCAGTTTCTAACCCACTTTACCCCAAATCAACCCTCTGAGTCAGTGCTTAATTGAAGAAAGTGAGGCGACAACAGAGCAAAGCAATGACTAGAAAATCCTGATGCTATGCGGAGAAACCTATCAAAACAGTTTGTTAACTCCATATAACCAAAAGCAACAGAAAGAAGCTGGAAAATAATAAATTTGCTAGTGAATTGATGTAAATATGAGCCAAAGAATCAACTGAAAGACAAAAGGATATCTACAGTTTTGAAGCAAAATTTGGTGGTAAATGAGGACTCATAATAGTTATAAAAATGGTTTGAATGGAGCAAGAGCCATATTAGTACCGCTTCATCCCGTTCACCCATGAGTTCAAGTGCAGAAGAATGTCTTCTCCTTAAAGCTTCTAGCTCCGCTCTAATACCTGGAAGAACAGCTGCTTCTGCTCTCAATTTTTCACACTGCAACAAACCAAGCTCCAGCAATGTTGTTAATATGGCAGGCACCACAAAAGGGAAATGTCGGAAATTCTATACATGACCATGATCTTACCTGTTCAGTCATATTAACTAGCTCTTCAGACAGAGAATCCCGTATGGATTCCAGTGATGACTACATGGTTAAAGTTGAAAACAGTTAGAAACCAGATTTCACAACCTCAATGAAAAATTTTGCAAATGGTAAAAGAAAATGAAGAAAATAACATGTCAGAAAAACATGTGCAAAATTCAATTCCAATGATACGAAAAGTAAAAATGATGACCCATGGACTGGGGAATCCACTGTATCATACACCTCCACATATGCTGAGTACAATTCGGCCAGAAGCGCTGAAGGACACAGACACTCATGTAATGTGCGACTCTATCTTGTTTTTTTTCCTTCATATTTAAACCCAGGATTTGATAGCCAGCAGGAACTGAGCCTCAATCTCATTCCAAGGCATCCCAAAAGTTCTGCAAGCAAGGTGGAGAGTGAAAGCACCAAGCTGTGTTTATGATCATGGACAAATCTCCCAGCATAAATGACCACTGATTCACATTTACATGATGGTGGTATGTCTAACAAGCTTAAAACCTATGATGAGACTGCCATCTCTGTATAGATCCACATCCTCATTATGTCTTGATTTGTTTGGTGAACATTCTAATAGTATGGTGGGTAGGGTAGAAAAATGTTCAGTGAAGAGATGGCAGACACATTTGTTAAGCAAGAATGTCATATACTTTTTTTAGTAAAATTGAAAAATCAGCACGTATTCATTCTTCCCTTCCAGGGTTTCTTTATTCCTACGACTTGCTAGCAAATTGAGACTTTTTGACTAAAACTGGATAGCTGTCAAAGTGCGCTAACTTTTTGAAACAAGAATATTCTGGTCAGATGGTGCAAGGAAAATGGAACAATAATGAAACTGGAAACTGAAATAAATGGGGAATTGTTTCACTATAAAGGGCGTTTTTTTCTATTTAAGAAAAAACTTACCTATTATTACATGTTATCATTAATTAACTAGTGTAAAGGTTCTCTAAATAATATAGTTATAAATAATATGACTAGTAGCCTAGTACCAATTGTTAAAACTGCACCACCACTCAAAATGTATTCAATGGCTAAAGAAACTTGCATAGTGTATTATAAATAGTGATATTAATAACTAATTTTTATGGAATATTATCATATTTTACTTTTATTCTTTGTTAGTAAATTTTTACTAAATGTTTTAGTAAGAATATATATGATATTTTAGTTAGACTATACTTATTATTATATTAACAAATGTATTTATAGAACACTATGTTACATTGTTATCTACTATTATTACAACAGTATTAAATCCTAATTTACTAATCAACCTGAAATAACATTAACAATTATCTTTTGTAGTGAATAATAATATCCATATTTTTTATGTATATTGAAATAGTTTTACTATTAATTACTATTTTACTTATTTTTTATTGTAATTAACAAAAAATTATTGATTACTTATACTCTAGGTTGCATAGGTTCGGTACGGGTAGTGGTAGGCTACAAATACGGGGCAAGGCAAAATTGCAACAGGTAGGGTACGGGGACACGGATTTATATATGCATGTTATGTATATTTATGTGTTAAAATTGATAATTTACATAAGATCAATGTTGTTTTTTCATTTACATAAGATAAATATTGTTTTTTCCTTTGCATAAAATCAATATTTGAGAAATAGATGCTAAGTGTAGAATATACATTCAAGAAGTGTATGAGAAGTGTTTCAAATTAAAAACATGCATTGTATAATTGGGTATACGCCCGAATAAACATATGCATATATCCCATAAGTGTCCAAGAGGTTTGGGTACAGGTACGTGCCGGGTACGGCTATGGCTTCCTAATACAGGTAAGTGTCGGGTACGGCTATGGCTTCCTAATAGAAGTACCGAGATGTCATAACTTATACTAAAGTATTAAATTAACGAATAATCTTAAATAACCAGGGAGGAGGGGGCATTTCTTTCTTCGCAAATTACCCCATGGCCCTCCATAATTGCCCCACTCCAAAAGGAGGTATCGATTGAGAATTGGAACCCACCAGAAGTTATAAAGGAGAACTGAAAAAGTGGGTAACTGCCCAAAGTTATCCTTGTTCAAGTTCATTTGATTAGCACCTTAAAAAGCTTGCTCTTTCTAGTTTTAATACACTAATATGTTAATACTTCAAATTTTCTCAGTAATATATTTCAGATTTCAAGCAATGCACATGTTCTTGAAATGGCTATGCAGTGGTTCATCTCATAATAAATGGATAACATAAATACTGGATTTAAAGTACCTAAAGAAAAATCTATGTTGGCCAAAAAGAACAGCAAACGGAACAAAAAATGATTACCAAACGGGAAACATAAGATGCAAGTTCTCCATCCTTTTGACGAAGTGCCGCTTCAAAAGCACTTGGAGTCATGCTCTTCAGGAAGTAAGGGGACATAGTAAATTCTCCTGAACCTCTCCTCTCCGAGAGAAAACTGTCAGATGAATCCAGAGAAGCTTGCAGGAAATGGCTCTCCTCCATGCTCCCTGCACTAGAAAGTTGCCGCTGAACATTTCCTGCAATGGGATAAAAGAAGAGATCTGATTATTACCAAATTTTACAGGAAAAAAAGTGAGAGAGAGATAACAACTGACAGGTCTTACCATTTTCTAAAGGAGGGTGTTTGAGTTTAGTGATGTGATCTTGACTGGTAACTCTAGAAATTTTGTGTGAAGCAGTCAGCTCCTACAGGTTGAAGTGAGTTTAGTTTTAATAAGTTTCTCTAATTATGAATGCTGGAACAGAAGATACAGATGCTATGACTAACAGCATGTCAGCATTAACACATAAATAAAAAACTGAAGTAGAAAAAGTATTTGATAAGACAAATTTTCTATAATTTAAAAGATGTGCTTTGAATTTCAAAATTTTAGTTATTTTAATTTTCAGAAGAAGATAATGGTGGCAATCCAAATGTAACACCATTTCTATTTGTGCCAGACAAAAGCATCGTCTCCTCCCTTATCGGACTTTTTATGCTCCTTGTCCTGCGTAACTTATAATTTGAATTATTCTATCCACATAATCCTTAGTTTTCTCTGCTAAACCCATTATAAATTACCTCCTATTACTTAAATTTTTATGCAGAGACATGTCGAGAAATCTTAGCTTCATAAATTCCGACCCCATCAAATAATAGATCTGACCTTCCTATATCAAGGTTCTCCTGAAACTGATATCCCTGTTCCTTCAACATTTAAATTCATTAGACATTATAAAGCACAAATTCAGCATAAAAATCCGATTTCAGTTCTTGTTTTCTTCTCAAAGCAACAAACAACAAGAACTTAGAATAACCATAGTTTGATGGTTGAAACATCTGTAAGCTAGTGTGCTTGGATGACAATAACCATCCATCCTTTACTTTCCTGTATTTATGTGCTGAACCTACCAGATTCAGAAATGACAGATTAAAAAGCATCCTTTTGGTAACTTTTTTTTTGCAACTTCTGTCTCTGTCTTGCCCAGAAGATGAATAGAAACTCCACATAGCAACATATCACACTGGCTCCTTCCTGGATGCTCCTTCGGGGATTTTCGAAGGGCTGTTTCTTAGTTGGAAGAACTTAAAGTGCATGACTATCACACAGTTTTCTATTGCCAGTCAAGATTTAGCCCACAGTTCTCTCGGCAATTTTAATTTGCTGGAGATTGGCACCAGAAATTCAAAGGGTTAACATTAATTTGACAACCAGTCATTACAATAATTGTGAAACGTTCCCAGAAGCCTTTAGATATAGTTTTTCCATATGGCAAACCATATTATGAAGAGAAATGGCTTTAAAATGATGATTATGCAACTGCTGCGTGCAGAAGCCACTAGTACATTAGAACTTCTGGGATTAAAAGAGCAGGCTGAGCAGCATATGAAAATGTCCATTCATCAAAAGGGGATGCATCAAATACTTCACAACAAAACATAACAAATCAAACTAAGCATTGTGGATCAGCAGGTATACAAATACAACAGAGAAGGTTGAACCAATATGCCTGGATTATTAGGTGGCACCAATAAATAACAAGTTCAGCTCTAATAATCTACGTAACAAAGCAGGTAAATTAAAGAAGTTTATACAGGCTGAAAGGCAAACTTAAAACACAGTTCGATAGACAGAGCTCAAGAATGTAGGAGCTACAATTATATACATGGTGAAGCGCTGAAAATTGGAGAAAATATAGAGATATCCTCATGCACAACGACACTGCTAAACTCAAGCAAGAAGAGAGAGAATTACTTACAGAAGCAGAGCTAGAAATCCAAATAGGAGTCTGGTATTGGATACAAGTATAAAAATAAGGATTTGAAGAGTATTAATGACTGGTTTTTAAATGATTAAATCATGTGATATGTGGATTCCATGAGTATTCTGACAGATAGTAATGTATGCCTAGAACTAATCACAAAAGAGATATATGGGAACTAAGACAAAAATTGGGTAAGCCTGCACTAATTTTTCATTTAGCATTCGCGTACAACATAATATTAGATTAAGAAATATACTTGAGTATAATGAAGGTTAGTGAAGCTTATATGTAATCCTCAGACAAGATGTTGTACCTCGTAGAAATGCTTTGTCAGATAACAACTTAGAACTTCTGCAGGAGAATTCAATCATATGCATGGGTGTGACAAGAGATCTTTGAACAGACAAGGAATATTATCTCACCAGAAACATTTATTCAATCCTAGAGTTAT